TATATATATATATATTCACCTTTTTGACACTAATCCACCTGGTAGAGAACTTGGTACTGCTACAAAATTGCGACAGACAGCACAAAGCATAGAGGTGGTACGAATTACTTCTTATCTTGCACCTATACCACCTATGCACTTAACCGTGGCTATAGAGAATTTGGGAGAGCAACAGCATCAGTGAAGAGGCATGTGGTTCGAGGACCATGTCCGATGAAGAGATTATCATATGTGAATGTGAGAATTGCAAACCAGTGTGTGATAATCTGCGGAAACACTCATCTATTTTATTCAAGGTATCGATAGTGTAGTTACCTCCCAAAAACACATTAACTAGGCAACGTCCTCAAGAACTCACCCTATTAATTCAAATAATAACAAATCACTTCAAACTTTCAAGTATGGTCGATTGGAGTATTTTGCAGATGACAATTTTTTTTTTTTTTTTAATTTGTAATTTCATGTGTTTTTTCGTACGGCATTACATATGGCACTGACAATCCAAACCCGCTTTTGGCAAGCCATACGTAAACCACATGGAATTACGTATGGCTTTCCTAAAGTAATTATGCAGGGAATTCTGTCACTCATTATTTAGTTGGGTAGCCTCATTGAAATTTTCGATATGGAATATATGTAAACGTGACGTTCCAAAACGGCGCAAAAATCTGAAAGTATATAAAACAAGACGGCAAAAGTACGCGCGATACATTTTTATTAATATAGAATAACGAATAAGCAGTAATAAATTTTGTATTTTTTAAATAAAATAATATTAAATGGACAAAAATTATCTAATTTAAGAAACAGTTTCTTTATAAAAAACCTTATCAAAGCTTTGCTTCTTCCATGGGTCCTGCGACCCATTGTTTTGTTTTATTGTTGTTAATGTATATAATAATTATTGTATTATATAATACATTATAAATAAACCCTGCAAAAGTAGAAAAAAGTTGTTATAAGTTGAATTAACAGTTAAAAATTTTTCTCCGTTACATTTCAGTTCGTACAATCACTATTGGAGGTGTCGGATTATAAATTTGAGGGAATTTTTATTCAATAATGCTTAAATTAAGTGTTTCAAAAGTGACATTTTAAATAAAAATAACAATTAAATTATCTTTAGCTATTTTAGAAAAACCCGATACGCCAAAAAAAATTGTAAGCGCAATATTCATAGAAAAAATCCAGTTGATTTTTACTACTATTTTAACAACATACAAGGCTGAAAGGATAATGCCCCTAAACTATATTCTATTTTACTCTAACCACAATAATAAAGCGACTCCAACTATGTTCGGCGTAGTCGCGGAGAATTTTTAAGTAACGCTTTATTATCTACCCATCCATAATAACAACTACCTTTAGAAGATAAAAAAAAATTGAGTGATATCTTTGGTCATTCAATACAATGTTTTATTCGAGGTAATAAAGTTGGAGGTAATAAAGTATCAAGCCTGCTAAAAAACAAGAGTTTATCAGTTAACACAAATTATTACTCCAATTTGAACTGTATAACGTAACGTAATTATAAGAAGAAATGAGAACATTTTCTCCCATGTTTGGAGATACACCACGTTTTTTTAAATTTAAGTTTCTTTAACCACAAGAAAAAATCTTCAAAATTTCCAGGGCCACTATTCTTATAAAATTGTCATATAACTTTTACTTCAATAGATTTAACACGTTATGTAAATACTGAACAAAAGTACTTATTTGTTACCTTCACACTCTTTGATAAAATATCTGATGTCTTAAATAAACTATCTTTGGGAACAATATGGCAAGGTTGGAACAAACGTGATACCGAATTCATAATAAAGTGTGTGTAGAAAGCACGAAACCAACAATAAAATTTTTTAAATAAAGCAGCCACTGAAAAAATAAAAATCATACTGTTGTTTGATGAGGTATTATTAAAACTGTTATAACACACAGTAACATCCTTGTTTGTCGAAAAGTACCTATACAATATATTTTATTTCTTTAGATCATTTATCACTTGTTATTAATGCGTTCGTTCAAATAAAAGATTTTCGAATAAAATTATTTTTGGCAGAACGTAACCACTTGTGTTAGGGTAACGCGTACGTGCAGTCATAGGTTACTCTTAGGCCGTGGACACAGAGAGCGTAACGCGTACCGCGTAACCATTTGAGCCCATGAGAACGCCTACGCAGTACGCAGTCAAATTAACGTAAGGTGCACAGTGCACAGTGCACAAGAATAAGATTAGCTGGTATATCTATATCTGTAAAAACGTTAAGCACAACGCGTTCTGCATTGTGTATATAGGTATATCAACCAATGTTATTCTTGTGCACTGTGCACTGTGCACCAGCACAGTGAGCTGTGCGAACGACTTGCATCCAGCAAAAAAAAAAAAAATACCAAAAATTGCGGAATCGTTTGCAGGTTTTGCAATTGCCATGCAAAAAATTGTCAGAGTATTATTTTTTTGTAAAAAAAATAAAATGTAGTACGTCCTGCGAGAATCTAATAAAACAATTATTTCGCCTCAACGGTAGAGTTTCTACTATTAAAATTATGACCAGTCGTTTGCAATTTAATTGCCAGTGCGTGTGAGGATCGCAAAATAGTCAAATTAGTTATATTTATTGAATAAATAATTATATTTATATACGAGAGTAAGTCGAGTCATCTTACTCCCACCCCAGGCCAGGGCGCATGCGCACTACACTCGAAATTCGAAATACCAGCGATGGGATATAGTTCCGGCCAGATTTGGGAATTCTCTAGGACCCAACCTCTCTGAAGTGGGAAATCACTAGATCAAAAAAAAAATAGTACCGAAGGTGACGCGCGAGATTCAAATAAGGTCCAATAACACAAGCATCCATCACCTGATGAACCAGTGTGCTTACTGGACTCTGTTAAATAAATAATTATTAATAACACAAGCGCCTATCACCGTATAACCTGAGGCGCTAATTCCAAATCTAGTAAATAAATAATTATTCAGAAATATGTTAAGCACCTTTTTCCTGATGATCCAGGACACTTGTTTGCAACACTATTAAATAATAAAAAGTTGATCGATAACATATTAACCATATCACAATTTTGATTGCCTATCTAGTACGACAAAGATCTTTTTAATTGGCGCTCTTGTAATTACTTGATAATTTATTATTCAATAGTAGCCAGTAAGCGCCTTGGGTCATCAGGTGATAGGCGCTTGTGTTGTTAATAATTATTTATTTAACAGAGTGGCCAGTAAGCACACTGGGTCATCAGGTGATGGATGCTTGTGTTATTGGACCTTATTTGAATCTCGCGCGTCACCTTCGGTACTATTTTTTTTTTGATCTAGTGATTTCCCACGTCAGAGAGGTTGGGTCCTAGAGAATTCCCAAATCTGGCCGGAACTATATCCCATCGCTGGTACTTCGAATTTCGAGTGTAGTGCGCATGCGCCCTGGCCTGGGGTGGGAGTAAGATGACTCGACTTACTCTCGTATATAAATATAATTATTTATTCAATAAATATAACTAATTCGACTATTTTGCGATCCTCACACGCACTGGCAATTAAATTGCAAACGACTGGTGATAATTTTAATAGTAGAAACTCTACCGTTGAGTCGAAATAACAGTTTTATTAGATTCTCGCAGGACGTACTAAATTTTATTTTTTTTACGAAAAAATAATACTTTGACAATTTTTTGCATGGCAATTGCAAAACCTGCAAACGATTCCGCAATTTTTGGTATTTTTTTTTTTTTGCTGGATGCAAGTCGTTCGCACAGTTCACTGTGCTCTGTGCACCTTATGTCAATTTGACTGCGTAGGCCTAGAGTGAGAGAGAGGTGAGCGTGTTTTACGAAGTACCACCTCTATGCTTTGTGCGGTCTGTTCGTCTGTTCCAATTTTTTAGCAGTACCAAAGTTGACTACTATAGGAGGATCAGTGTCGAAAAGGCAGTAGCAGACGAGAAAACAATTGTAACGTAAAAGGTGCACCAAAGTGTAAATACAAACTCTAACATTTCTCAGAATATGGTTCACGATAAGTTGTATACTTATTACGTCACTGGCTTTATTTGTCGAAAACTACGAAAAAAATTTGAAAAATGCACCACATGTCAAACTACTTTAAATAGTAATCCCGGAAACTCTGTTGAACCAGAAGCATTATTGATTAACTTACAAAATAGGGGATGACTTATCCATGCAAATACTCTTTTTTACAAACTCTTTGATAAAATAGAAAAATATTTTAGGGAAGCCATAAATAATCAGCTTGTCAATGTTTACGAATATGTTGTTGAAAATCTTTTGCAAAATAAATTTCAGTTTCCCTGTAGACTACATAAAGAGGATGCAGTATTTAAATCTATCTATCATTACACTAGCATGAGAATGATACAGTACGTTAACATACAAAATAAGGATGTTTTAAAAGAAAGTAGAGAGAAAAAAAAATTATTGAAATTGGTTTCAACCTAATTTATAATTCAGTAATTTATTGCCTCTATTGTATCTTATCCTACGTATCAGAAGTCGATTGTAAAATTTGTAAATAAATAGAGTTACGATTATATCATATAGTTTTTATATCCATATATTGTGCCTTTATGGCTATCGAGTGATGCCATGAAAAGAGAGAAAAGATTGTTTGATGTTTCGCCCCAGGACCAGGAGCACGCCAGGATCCAGGATTCATCAGTAAGGCTGATGACATGCTCCCTGCCTTAGACACCTATATCGGTGGGGATACCCTAGCTCAATCTTAAACGCCCTTATATATTAACCAACATGAAATCCGGGCACTTGCGAGAAGGTCAAGTTGAATGGTTAGACACCTACCGGATGGTTGGAGAAGGATGGAGAGCCGAAGAGCTTCAGGCTGAAGTGTACATGTGTGTGAGAGGGTTCCCACACTTTTCTTACTCATACGCCATCTGACGAGTGCGATCGGTACTGCTACAAAACTGCAACCCATTGGAGATGGTAATTTGTAATACCCGTACCACCTGAGTTCGTACCATATAACTTTCCTTCGCTTTGCGGGCCTATGTTAAAACAGTAAAACAGCGGAAAGAGTTATATGGTACGGCTCCTGTCTGATCTTAAGGTGGCTCAAGTGGCCTCAATGTTAAAATTATAAATAACCCAACCGAGGTTAATAAAATTGAATTATATTCTTTGAATTCCCATTTTTCTATTCGTATAAACAAAAATTTATGTTGACAATAAAAATTGTAAGAAATCATGCTTACAAAATCGTAGTTTTAAGACGGGTTAGATAGGAAATGCAAGCTTACGCGATATACAACCTACTTCTGCACTTGTATAAATAACCCGTAAGGTGTAAAAAACATACTATCTTGTATTTATTATTACGCAGTTTTCGATGACATGAGAAAAATGTCTTGTTACCGAACAAAATCTTTAAATAATCGGAGACTAAGACTTATTTCAACGTGTGATACCATATTAAAATATACACAAGTCGAATAAGAGCTTCTCACTGATATAAACATGTTATTATTCTTTGAAAGAGGTATTAGAGGTGGTCTAAGCCAATGTTGTTACCGATATGTAAAGGCAAACGATAGAGAAATAAACGAAGGATATAATGCCGTAGAAGAAGAAAATTTTTGAAGTTATACTTCTATAGGCGTGTTATGCGCGGAGGTACATTAACGATTTTTTATTTTGAAATTGAGAAAAAGTGTAACGGAAGTGGATTTTTCTTGATTCTAGCCCTTCGCCCAATCCCTCATAACGTATTTCCGATTTCCTCTAAACAACATGATGCTACACATTTGAAATTTTATGAATTTTATTTCTTTTTTTTTTACCAATTACAAAAAAAAAGAGACAGTTTTGAAAGAGATTAGAACCCTCTACCTCTTACTGTCCGGCCACGGCCCTCACCTACTCTGTTATTAGCAGGCCCAACATAAAAGCATCAGTTACTTTATGTTATCTTACAGTTTATAACTTATTTTTCGTAAAAATTTTTTTTTAATGTACATTAATTTATTTGGATCAGCTATAAATTAAATAAATTAATAATTTATGCAATAAAATAATTCTTTTTTTTAATGGTTTTAAAAAAAACTAGGCGATTAGTATATTTTAGCAGAGCACCGTTCTAATTTATTAATAGATATTGATTCCTACCTATTTAATTTGTTACTTTTACAATAAATAAATAGTTTTTTTACAATTTTTTCGTATTTTTTAAAAATTTTGATAAATAACAAAAAAATTTTTTGTACTGTGCAAAGACAATACTTAATTTTTATTATGCTCTATTCTTTTAAAATTTTTTCATTCGTGATTAAAGTAATTTTTTCACTTGAGGTGGCTCCAGTGGCCTTAATGTTGAAATTACAAATAACCCAACCAAGGTTAATAAAATTGAATTATATTCTTTGAATTACCATCTTTCTATTCGTATAAAAAAAAATTAAGGTTGACGATGAAAATTGTAAGAAATCGTGCTTACAAAATCGTAGTTTTAAGACGGATTAGATAGGAAATGCAAGCTTACGCGATATACAACCTACTGCTGCACTTATATAAATAACCCGTAAGGTGTAAAAAACATACTATCTTGTATATATTATTACGCAGTTTTCGATGACATGAGAAAAGTGTCTTGTTATCGAAGAAAATCTTTAAATAATCGTCGACTAAGTATACAGTTGCGAGTGCAAGTCAGCTCTCAGCTGCCTGCATTCTGCAGAGTACATATATATAGGTATAACTACTCTTGAACTTAGGAGCGTACCGTAACAGTTCATCAATTAGGGCACCATAAAACTTGTTTTTTTATATTAACTCACTAAAGTAACAGATAAAATGTAGAAGATGTCTTACAACAGTCTCTACGATAATTTTATACCATATTTTAAAGAAAATAATGATTAATTTTTAGTCTCCCCATTTTGATACGGCACTAGGCGCTTGGAGCCACCTTAAGTACACTGTGCTCTTAGGTTTAGGCTTACGTCTTAAGCTGCAGTCATAGACATATGAGAAAAATAGACTACTCGTTCCCATGTGCGGCGCTG